TTTACAAATAACAGCATATCTAAAAGTATGAGACAACAATAAATAAAAAACATAGGCCTACCATTAAAAGCCATGCTTGCACAGGTTCTGCACGATCCTCTTCAATAATATCCTCTCATTCTCAATCGGGCTCAAACTGATAAGCGATATTAATGATGCCATTGCTTACAATACAACCGGAGGACATGCTGCCGTGGTAGTTTGGGGCGGGACGTTTAGCCAATCACAACACACTGGGCTAGCTAACCAATCAGAGCCCATCGCCTATTTCTGAGGGAGGGGCTTCATAAAGGAAGAAAATGATCAGCCCGTTTCTCAGAGAAGGGACAGAGCGGTGTGGAATAAAGGTAAATTATGTGAAAAATAATGCGTTTTTTAAAAAACGAAGCATTAACACATGTTAGACTGCACCCCATAAACACAATCAAGCCTAGAAAAAAAACAGTGAACCACCCCTTTAAATACATTTGTTGTAGTTACAATTAAATTAATTTATAAAAATCAATCTTAAATTAAATACAAAAAAATCTTAAATTATTTGTATTAAATAAATCCCAACTTTATTTATATAGTTTTTTTATTTATTTAAATAAATTAGATTTCTCTCTTCTTAGTTTAAAATGGTAAGCATTTGCTTTGATTTTGAAATAAGGAACAACTGTTGGTGCTTCACCTTCTTCTTTGCAAATTTATGCCAAAAATTATGGTATTTATGACTAATTTCAATCCGTATATCGCCCACTCCTAAATAACATAGGCCACGTTCACGCAGCAGCAGAGTACGGTTGTCAATCCTGTATTTGAGTCGTTAATACGGTTACGTTCACACCCGTAAATTTTCAGGACTCACAACCTCATTCTCGGAAAACCCGAGCTGTGTGAACGGAACCGGACTGGACATCTAGTTGTCTGTCACGTCATACAGTGCGAGAGAGAGTCGCTCTGCTGCACAAATGCGTGTCTACAGAGATGTGAGCTGTGTGTCAAGTTTTAGATCCTGTCAGTTCTGTTCTGCGCGCCTCAAATGCTCCGCTCTACACCCAAACATAAAAGCTGTTGTCGGTTAATGAAGATTTGACGGATGAACTCACAACTCGATTGGACTCTTGGCGTGTCAAAAAGTGATAAGACTTTTCAGTTTAATGGACGTCGCCATGATGTTGGATATTACTTTGGTCACTGTTGCTATGGTTACTGATAAGGAATACAGGCTTGACTCCTGTTGCACGTTCATACAGACACAGTATTCAAGACTGTTAAGTTGCTGTGTGAACGGGATATTTTGAGACTCACACCAGTAAGTAAATGCGGTTGTAAATCCCACAAAACTGTGTGAACGTAGCCATAGTTTACCTTTGGTTTTGTCATTTTTGGATGTTTTAGTCACATAAACCAGCTGTGGTCGATTTCTTTTGAGTTGCAAATTTTGTGGAGAAAACTTCAGGATGACACAGTGGGAAGAAATTGTTGTCCAGCAGTCATTCAAATGTTATTTTCCCCTCTAATGTTCTTATGGCTTTTGTGGTGGTTCGTATCGGCCCTATTTGTGGTAGTGCAGGTGAATCAACTCTGAACACAGGAATATATGCTTTGCCTATCTGAGAAAATGCACGCTTTGGTTTGGATGAAGCTGCAGGGCTGATGCTTGTGCTTCCAGGGGCCCTTTTCCTCCTCTTCTTTTCCGTACAGCTCGACGCTCACCCACCCAGGGCCACTCCTCCCCTCCTTCACCTCCTTCACTCTCTCTATCTGTCAGGAATTCATGGCTTACTGAGCTCTGTTACCATTCTCACTGTGTATTTGTGTACGTTTCCTTTCTCTCTCTCTCTCTCTCTCTCTCTCTCTCTGCTATCTGCTCCATCTCTTTCTTTCTCTCTCTCTCTCTCTCTCTCTCTCCCTCTGTTCCATCTCTCTCTTTCTCTTTCCCGTACCACAGGCTGTGTAAAGTTCAGCTGTGGGTCGGAGAGAGTGACCTTCAAACCAGGTGGCAGGAGGACGCGTTTTCTGAGTACGCCCTGCTTGGCTCTTTGTGTGTAACGCTTTTTCTTTTGTCTCTTTCCTACAATGGCATGTGATTAGTTCTTGATTCTGCCAAGCCTTCTAAATGGCTGATCATCTCAGACATTGTGTCATGAATTTTAAAAACAACACTTTGTCATTTGTAATTCATCTTATTAGTTTTAATATTTTCCCTCATATATGCTTCAGTTTGGTTTAACATAATAACAAAATGTCAAAATTGCTAAAGATAATTACTAATAATTTAAAAGATGAATAACATGCTGCATTTTACAGTGTCCCAAAGCAATATGGCTTGTATTTTAGCAGTTCAAGCAATTTATATTGAAAGCAGGAAAATGCACATCTCTTTAACAATGAGATCTTTTTATGGCTGAATGCCATGAACAACTTTGACCAATTATTGTAATTCTAGCTAATAATTTGATTGTGCAGAGTCCATATACTGGTAACACTTCAAAATAAGCTTGTAAATGTTATCATTACTTAATAAAAAGGTATCATGAACTAATAATGAACATCATTTATTAATATAGGTAAATATTAATTTCTACATATGCTAAAACAATAATTTCAAGTTGTATAAATCAGTATTAGTTAAAATATTATGAAGAAAACATGAATTAACATTGAAGAGTAGTAGAGTAGTACATTTATAAATTAACATTAGCCTAGATTAATAAATTGTGTATAATAGTTTATTGTTAGTGTTATTTTATATATATATATATATATATATATATATACTATTAAAATATGTATTAATACTTTGAGTAATCTTACTACTTCATCTTCAGTTAGTTGCCAAGGCAACATTTCAAATTTCTGTTTGTTTTTTAAGTTTAATATTTTTATATTAATTTAATATTTAAGTTTTATATTTTATTTTGTCAATTACCAAAACTTTACGATTTTTAATAGTTTTAGTTTTAGTTTACAATAAGATTGTTAGTTTGTTAGTTCATGATGCCTACTGTAATGCAAATACTAATGTTACTTTATTGTAAATTGTTAGCCATATAGTATTATCATATAATGTTTTTGCAGTATTGATTGGCGGTTCCTTTTCTGACACATGCAGTGTGAACCTGCAACTTATTATTCTCATTTACTCGTATTATTTACGTAGTAATTTGCACACATTTTTATAATTAAATCTCTTGAAAGGAGTGAACTGAAAACAGCTGACACAGTGATTAATATTTCTCCAAACTTGGCAAGTCACTGCATCTGTCTTAAATCTGATGAGTTTTTCCTTAGTCCTTCTTTGTTTTATTAAAATAAAAAAAGATTTCATGTCCCTCAGTGCAGGTACAGTACTTTCACACATCATCTCACATATTTTTTAGCTGCCTCACAATGTTAATACAAATGATCACTGGCTTTGGCCACAGACCCAATAGTCACAACCCGCTCACCCTGCCTTCACTGAGTATCAACAGCCATCAGGGCTTGAATTCAGGTTTTAGACTAGCATGTTCTGACACACTCCCATAATGCACTGTGTTGGACGTGGAGTTACTGTAACACTGATTCTCTCCAATCCCACCGTTCTCTCCATGCTTCAGGGAAGATGGTGAAAAAAGTGTGCCCCTGCAACCAACTTTGTAGTAATTATCTCTCTTTTTTTACATCCTCCCACACCTCCTTCCCTCTCTTTCCTGTCGTCACCTCTCGCTTCATGTCCTGTGGCCTGTTGAAGCTTGTTTTCCCGCTATGCTCTCAGGCTGACTTGAGCATTCTTTCCGGTGATGACCCGTTCATATGTTTATAAGTGTGGCACGTCACGTATGTTTTCACTCTCAAATTAAACTCACACAAACACACTATCCTAAATTTGAAACCGAACCAGAAATCACTCTAGATAAACGCCACACTCAGCAGCAGACTGACTAATGCACTCTAAATGGACCCGTCTGAGCACTCATCCCATTATGCACAAGCCAATTTGAAGCCCCAGACTCCCTTCTGCACTCTTCCTTTATCCCCTTAAGATTCATCCCGCTTAACTGCACATTGACCTCATCCTGTTTGGATGGAGTCCAATGCACAAGTCAACGTATTGAGGGAATACAGCTCACATTTTGCACACAGAAAGGTAGGTTTTCACAGAGAGGATTTGGGGTTCCTCCAGTATTGAACAAAGTGAATGGAAGTCATCCGGTAAATGCTGAAGTCAAGCTGTGTGTGGAGTCTCCACCTCTCCCTTACCCTTTTTCCACCAGGTGGTGCTGGTGCTTTGCTGGTGAAACATTTTTATTTTTAATTTTTTGCCAAATCTATATTCCGATTTTATGATATATATTGTAACATAAACAATATTTAATGATTAAAAGAAGTATCTTATGCTCACCCAGGCTGCATATATTTGATTAGAAATACAGTATTATTGTGAAACATTATTACAATTTAAAATAACTTTTCTGTTTTAATTTATTTTGAAATCTATTTTATTCCTGTGATCAAAGCTGAATTTTCAGCATCATTACTCCAGTCTTCAGTGTCACATGATCCTTCACAAATCATTGCAATATGCTGATTTGCTGCAGAAAAATAATTTCTTCTTATAATTATTATTGAAAATGGTTGTTCTGCTTAATATTTTTGTGAAACACTGAAAATAGTTTCAGATTATTTGATTAATAGAAAGTTAAAAAGAACAGCATTTACTTGAAATACTGTAAAAATCTTAAACTGTCTCTTTTGATCAATTTAATGTGTCCATGCAAAAAAAAAAAAAAAAAAATGTAAAAAATCAAATAATTCTTTCTGGACACGTTTTTAAATTTATGATTAAATGTAAATTAGTGTTTAATTAATCAAATGAAAAATAAATTTAGTTCAAATTCTACCATAATGCATGAATACTTTAGTCACTATAGTATAAATTAGTCCAATTCAAAAGTTTTTTTTTACACATTATAATATTGACAATGAGACTTTTTGCATTACAGTCCTTAAAATTGAGAAAGAGTTTGCTTAATTTTAATTAAAATAAAGCAAAAAAATATATAGAACAGCATTTGAAATAGAAATCTTTTGTAACGTAAATATTTAAATTGTCACTTTTGATCAATTTTATCTATCTATAAACCACTACATGTATAAACCACTTTTCCTTCAATGGAAATGTATAGAATTGGCAAATTATCCCAAATTGGCCACCAGTACCAGCATGGTGGAAAGGGAGTAGGTATTTGTCAAAGCATGGCTTGCTCTGGACTACATTGGCCAGAATTCCTTTTGGTGCTTCAGTCTTGGCGCAATGTGTCATTTTTTTGTTGCTGCATTCTGGAGGGGGCTGTGTTTACCATCCTAACAGGTCTTATCTGTGGCTGCCTGGATAGTTGGCAAGATATTTGTGCCATTTGTATTTAACTGTGTAAGATTTGATTTAGAAAATAACTGTTTTCCCCCATCAGCTTTATTTTTGACTTGCAGTATATTTTTCAAATGCATCAGCTCTTTGTTCCTCGACAGATATGTGTAAATAAAATGACCAATCAGCTTATGTCAGTGCATGTTTAAAGAAAGTTATCTCTTAGTCATGACAGTGATGTGTCTTACAGAGGAGCTGAGGTATTTCCACTCATTTTGCACATTTTTAATCTTGCTTCACATTAACTGCTCAGTAAACAGAGCTTTTTTGTCAAATAAATAAAATAAAAATAAAAATGTACCACATAATCCTTACTGCAATGCTTTGTGTTTCATAAAGAGGCTTATTTTCTCATACTTCCTGCTAATATTAATGTGCTATCAAGATTTGGCCTAGTTTAGCTAATGGTACTAATCAACTATCTAATTACACTTCTAAATAGTAGCTGTTGAAAGTTTCATTTTATTAGCCTCCATGAATTTTGAGACATTGCAGTTCCATTTAATCTAATACTGGAGCTCATGGTGAATCCATTTCCATTTCACCACCCTTTTGCGCCCTCTTGTGTTGCAATGAAAACAGCCATGGCAAGCATGATAATGAAGCCCAGGTAGATGTGAAGCACCAGAGATGGTGTTTTAATACTGTCTTCGTGACCTGTTTTGCAGACTGGAGTCAGAGTGATAAAAGCGTCACTTTAGCATCAGAGCAGATGCCCAGGTGCTCGATAGGGCCTCACTGCCATGACTTTTTTGTATACACATATCATTATATTATACAGTTGTGCTCTAAAGTTTACATACCCTTTGTATAATCTGTGATATGTTTTGCATTTATTCAAATAGAGGAGATTAAAATAAAAAAGCTTTTTTTATTTAGTATTGTCCTGAAGATCCTGCATAACAGATATTTTAATATAATCATAAGTCAAAATAACAGCTAAAATTGAATAATTGTTCATTTAGTTCTCAATATATTGCTCTGAGTATTTTAAATCGCTTGCTTTTACTGACAGCAGCTCTATTTATTTATTTTAATTAGCTTTTGTTGATTTAACTCAACCTTTGTTTATTTCCAGATTAAAATTAGATTTTAATATCATACTTTTAATATCAATAGCAATTTAAATAATCATACTTTTGATTCTCATATGTCATGTAAAATCTGTTTACATAAAAAAAAAAATCAGAATCGGGTCAAACCAGGGCAGTACTAAATTAAAAAAAATCGAACATTTTGCAGATTATATAAGGCGTATGTAATCTAACGTGAGAAACTGTATATGAAAATATACACACATTAATATAGTCTGTGTGGCTTCTGATTGTATCAGCTGTTTCAGTGTGACGTGTTTTGAACTGACTTCCTTTTTACGATCGTCTTCTCTCTTCCTCACTTTCTCTTCGCTCAGGGACGAGCAGCACCAACACGGTGGCGGGAAACGGTCAGAATCAATACCAGCCGCCCGTCTCTCAGTCCCAGAGCTGCAAGGGCATGTTCACAGACGAGCTGCACAAATTGGTGGACAACTGGGCCAGGGACGCTATGACCCTGTCGCAGGGCAAGAGAGGCTCCAGGCACCAACAACAAGTGACTCCTCAGGGCCACAGCTACGAAGTAAGACTTTGTTCTGGAGAAAATCACAGTTGAAACAGAGCATCTAAATCAGGAATTCACAACTCTCAGGCCCTTCAAGGTCCACTTTCCTGCAGAGTTTAGCTCCGATCCTAATCCAACACATCTGAACAAGCTAATCAAGGTTTACTAGAAGGTTACAGGCAGGAGATTTTGATCAAGGTTGGAGCTAAAAAAAAAAAAAGAGCTCTACAGAAAAGTGGACCTCGAAGGCCAGAGTGGAGAATCCCTGCTCTAAATAAATGTTTTTCCTTTCTTCTCTTCTCAGATGGTTCCTCCTACCAATATGGGCCGTAAGTACTCGGCTCCAGGCCAGCTGTGCCCAAGCATCGCTTCAACTCTGAGCAGCCACCCGCCCATGCCCAACACTCCCGCTACCTCTCTGGGGGCCCTGAAGGGCTCCTTGTGTCCCACACCACAGTACGGCTACCCCTCCGCACCTTACAGCGCCCAGTGGGCTGGTTCGGCCACGCACACCCAGGCCGGTCTGCTGGCCACCTCACAACCCCTGGGACAGTATCCCCAGGTTCCGACCCCTTTACAGACCTTCCACATCAGCACTTTGCAAAAGTCAGTCAGCCACCCGGGTGGACCCAACCTGAAGACCACGTAGGGCAGGGCCTAGCCGTGCCAGGCCTAAATAACTCTCGAATTGGGGGAAGGAAGGGGGACGGATTGGGCAAGTGTTTGATTGCATTGCAGAGATTCTGTCACAAGAGTTTCCTTTGGGATGGTTGAGGAAGATGCCAGAATCCTCCTGCATGCTCACAGATACGCCACGGGGATGATGCACAACGATGCAAAGAATAAGAGAAGATGAAAATAAAACAACGGACACTTATGTGCAATGTTACGTGGCCAAAGAAGGTGTGACCATTTTTATTGTTAAGATGTGTAGTGATGGCATCCTTCACCACCCAGCCCCAAACATTTGTCAAGGGGTTCGAGATTTGCTGACCTAGAATGGAATAGATGCCACTGGCATCCATCTGTATGTCCTCCTGATAAATTCATACATCAAGCATGTCAACAAACGGCGGTCGGGTGGGTGACGGTGAGCAGCGAATAGTCAAACCTAGTGTCCTTGTTCCCCTCTTGCCCTAAACCCTCTGCTGCAATGCCATGGAATAATGCAATAATTACAATGGTAGAAAAAAGCCCATTTTAAAACACAGGAAGTGGCCTTCATTAGATAAAATGACAAAATCCATGTACAGATATCCTTTGTTTTTAAATTGGGTTATGAGGGTTTTGATTTCATTCATTTGGTTTGGTTGGTTAGTTGGTTTTTCTTCCCTATGCCCTTCAAGCCGGCCTTGTGTAGCAGAATGGTAGGGACAGTTATTTTTTTGTCATGTTCAGAGGCCTTTCAGCTGCCCCCCGAGGTTTGTACTACAAAGCTTCTACAAGCATCCCAGCATGCTTTGCAGCTATCCACTCTCTTACCGTCCTCTTCCGGTTTTCTCATCAGGCCACACCACAAGGTGACGTGTAAAATGGTGGATAAAATCAGTTGGATTGGGGTTTGGATACGAAAATGGGGGTCACGGGATCTGTCGCCTTGGAGACCTGTGAAGCTTTAAATCTATGGCTAATGATCAGCTTTTTCTGATCATGGCAGCATTAGGGGCCTCTTACCATAGTTTGATCGAGACATTCAAATAAGTTGTGTTCTGTATGGACCTGTATTTACTCATCAGTTATTGATGTTGAAACACTGTGATTATTACAAATGTTGTTGGACAACATTAGATAAGAAAAGTAGACAAAAAAAAAATGACATTTTGGAGGGGTTTGGATATTAGCGTTCGTGAGATGTAAGGCTAGCTATTTCATTATTCACATCTTATTGGAGACACTTTAACTTTTTTCCCCTTTATACTTTCTTTATAATATTAGATAAATGTGAATGTAAAATGGATTCAATTAATGTACTTGAAGAAACAAATCTTTCCCTCTTTCCCTACGCCCAGTGAGCTTTCTGAAGATTCTAGTGCCTTGCGTTATTTTTGTTTTTGTTTTTTGGAGTCGGGGTTTGATATGTAAGGCAGCGGAGAGTCTCAAGCGTTGCACTTGGTTGGAGTGCTGGTCTTTGGACTTCACAGAGGGTGAAATGAGGTGCTGTTTTGGATGCCGTTTTGAATTGGCTACGACTGAAACCATTTGATGGCACAGTCCTAGTCTTTTGGGAAGTCGAAAGCTTCATATATACGGTGTGCAAACACAATCCAGCCATTATATCACATTCAAAGGCTGTGGAAGTGCTTGAGGGTTGCGTTTTAGATACTTCATCAATCTACCTTAGTATGCAAGTGTAAGTGTGCCTATCATCAGTGCACCCTTTCTAGCGTAGACGAGTCATTTAAAATGCTATTGACAACCAGTCTGTTTTCCAGATGGATTCTCAAAAGGTGTGAACGGTTCTTGTTAAGGTGAAGGATCGGCTCAGATAGAAACGCAGGATGAGGAAAGTTAGTACGCATGGGACAGTATGTTGTAAGTACTTCAAAACCACCAATAGCTTAGATGTTTTTCTAGCACTGCTTGATCGGTTTTGACACCATCCAGTGCCAAACCCTCTCCGGTCTGCGAAGAGAGACACGTTTTAGCAACAGATGTGACGGAAAGTGTAACTTCATGAGCGAGAAAAGGACCAGAAAGGTGGGAAAAAGACAGTTAGCAACCTTCACCGGCACAAGAACGCCACTCTCTGCCAAAACAGCACTGTCGAAGACTAATTCTCGCTGGTTTCTCATCAATCCGCTTCTTTTGAACTCTCACTGCCCATGTAAGTTCTCAAGTCACTGTACTGGCAACGGCCTTTGGTTTTATGGCAGATCAGTAGCTTCATTTTGGGGGATCTCAACTCTCTCTTTTTGTAGCAGTCAGTCAAATCACTCTTGTAAATGCTTTAGTTTATTCAAAATACTAGACCTGCAGTGTCAAACTAACTTTTAGTGTCATGTTCAGCACATTAAGCTGTGCAGATGAATCGAGAACAGTCCTGATCCACCAGAAACTAATGTAGATTCTTAGAGCATTTTATTTGGGGTACAAAAGCATAGTGGAGATGCTCATCAAATTAACTACTGAAAGGGTGTAGATTACAGCTCGTTACATACTGCTTAGTGTGTCGTCTGTGTGAAACGTCTGGTACAGGAACTTCACTTTAGGTCAACTGTACAGTTTAGATTCTCAACTGGCTCTCTGTTTAAAATACGATCGTTTTACCTTTATCTCTTGCTTTGTACGCAACGCTTTACCTGTAGACAGCTCGTTTTTACCCACTTTGTCATTTGGTTCGTTCAAACTGTGAACACATCAGAAGGTCTTTAACAAAGAGGTCCAACCTGCTCAGTGTTCAGGCTAATGAAATCTGTGTAATACTACCTTCTGAGTGCCATGTCCCTGTTCCAGATATGATGCAAGTGTTAATTTGCTCTCGCTGTAAGAAACAGGTCCCCCTGTTTGACTGTAGAGGGCGCTTATGTAACTGCAGTGCAGGATGTACAACAAAATGAGATTTACCTCTGACCTCTGATGTAAATGATACAGCACCTTGGAAAATGTAAAAAAAAAAAAAAAAAATTTTTTTTCATCAAACTGAATGTCTATCGATACTGAATGGCTCGTTCGCACATCAGCACGCTACAAACGCATTTAAAAAAAAAAAAAAAAGCAAAGTGAATGATAAAGAAAAAAAAATTTTTTTTTTTTTTTTTTTTTGTATGAGACTAGTTACAGAGAAAATAAATGCACACAAACTCACTCAAAAAGTATCTTATTGAATGAAACCTTCCTTTCTAGTCGCTCTCCTGTGGAAAGAAATACAACAGAACAATGTTTACTTAATGCTACTGACCTGTCATTAAGTTATTTTGTTTTGTACTGCTATCTGATCCGCTTGTTTTGCTGTCTTTTGAGTTTCTAGAGTTCCTCTGGCGACTTTCATTCAGTGTTTTTTTTTTTCTCCGTACGATATTTAACAGTGTACAAAATGTTAAAAGAGTTAACATTTTCATTTTACTTAAAATGAAAACCAAACAAAAACATGTAGGGAATCATCGGCAATGTTTAACTGTATGTTTTGCACTAAGTATAGGATGTTCTAGCTTCATATAAAACTGCGCTTTGCGCTCCAATAAAACAGCATTTGTTACCCTATTTGTAAACTTAATAAAAGTCATTTAAATAAATTAAGCTTGCCTCTGCTTCTCAATTCACAATGGATGCTGGATTAGTTATCATGCAGTTCAGATCAATAGAGTTGATTCGATTGAATATTTAAGTGCATTTAATATGTTACTCTATTATGTCTTTACTACTGCACTCTGTTATTTGTGCCCACCTTTAAATATGTCATATACTGTATGTCCAATAATTATTTGCATTCATACTAGCCAAACTGCATGTAATGTAGAAAGAGAACGAGGAGTTGTTTTGGTTGAAAGTTTCGTTGAATGGGTGGTGGTACTAAATCTTTATCTGACCGTGATCCTGTTTGAAGGTGAGTGACATGCACTCTGTCCTTCCACGTGTGCACATGCACTCTGCCCTGTTCTTCATATTGGTGACATTTTGGATTCTGAGTCGTCTCTTTAAATGCTAATGAGCTCTGCTCACCCCGCCCCTCTGTTCTGTGAAAAGAAGCGATTTGCAAATAATCACAAGAAATCTAAAGTGTGGTACTTACTACTTCTGGAGGTGCAGCTGGATCACAAACAGTGGGTACTGATCCATCCTTGAGTTCTAACTTTTTAGCAAAACCTGCCTTGAATTGTCCCTCGTTCAGAAAGCAGTCTGGAGTAAAATTATTCGCGCAAACATAAACGTATTTAGGTAGATCAGGGGGCGCATTCCCTTCAAAAATTCAAGTAATCCACTGCGTCTTCAGCGGCTCAGATGTTGGGAGTGAATGACGACTGCTATGTTCATTCTTACATCCAACAACAAAACACCTCAACCGCTTAAAGCAGGGCTGTCCAAACTCGGTCCCGGAGGGCCGGTGTCCTGCAGAGTTTAGCTCCAATTTGCCTCAACACACCTGATTGGAAGTTTCTATGCCTAGTAAGAGCTTGATTAGCTGGTTCAGGTGTGTTTAATTAGGGTTGGAGCTAAACTCTGCAGGACACCGGCCCTCCAGGACCGAGTTTGGACAGCACTGGCTTAAAGGGATACTCCACCCCAAAATGAAAATTTTGTCATTAATCACTTACCCCCATGTCGTTCCAAACACGTAAAAGCTTCGTTCGTCTTCGGAACACAATTTAAGATATTTTGGATGAAAACCGGGGTGCTTGTGACTGTCCCATTGACTGCCAAGTAAATTGCACTGTCAAGGTCCAGAAAAGTATGAAAGACATTGTCAGAATAGTCCATCTGCCATCAGTGGTTCAATCTGAATTTTATGAAGCGACGAGAATACTTTTTGTACGCGAAGAAAACAAAAATAACGACTTTATTCAACAGTTTGTCTCTCCGCATCACCGTCGCGCCATTTTGGAGAACATTCGCTGAACTTGCTCCACCTTTCATTTCTCGTAAGCCTTAGTGGCGTAATCAAATAATGTGCCAAGAAAAATATGCAAAGAATTGCGGTCAGTGCAACTTCAGTTCATTCGCCAAACTAAACTCATTCATTACTGGTATAGTAGTATTCAATAACATGCAGATACAGAGACAGACAGGTTTGTGTGTTGTTGTTGTTGTTTTCTTTAATGAAAAAAAAATGGTAGACATTAAATACAGTCCCCTGAAGAGACTTTCACAACACCAAGTTATAGATCTCTCTTCACAAAAAGAAACCTTCATCCCATTCCCAACTTCACAGTTTCTCCACGACAGACTACATATTTAAGCTCTATTAAAATAATTATAAAAATTGCAAAGAAGCAGAAGCACATATGGTATGGTTTCTAATTTCCTAAAGGTTATATGGGCAAACAAACTCGTTAATACCTTTCACAGCACTCAAGGACACCTTACAGCAAAAGTCAATAAAATACAATCAATACAAAACAAAGACAATCAAATCACTAAAAGCTATTCTAAACAAACAGGTTTTAATCAGAGTTTTAAACTGGTAAATAGAATCCAGCAAAAAAAATCAGTTTGGAACAGTCAGTAAGTCTGCAAAAGATGATTTAAGAGAATTTGTCTCAAAGCAGATTTACAAAGTGCTGATTGATTGGAACTAATTTATTTCAACTCAATCTGTAGTTGTAATACATGGTTCCTCTGTGCAGACTACATGTAACACTCTAAGAGCCTTGTTGCACCTTTGTGGCACACATTCCCAAGCGATCACAGAATACATATCTCTGTCACACACCTCCAGCTTCAGGTTTTCACTGGCTTTGCAGTTGGGGAAGTTGAACTCTGCAACCCTCTGTAACCCTGGTGATATTCTGTCTGCCCCCATAAGTAGAGCCACACCAGACCTTAACGTATGGATCGGGTTTGTTTCCCAAAGCATCACCAGGGAGGTTACTGGCTCGTAAACTACACACCTGAACAGCAGCACTGGTGAAGTCCAGCTGAGACGCCAGCATCAGCACAACCAGAGACACCAGCCCAAGATGATCAAACCCTGCCATGGCCGTCAGAAAGAACACACGTTCAGTTATAATGATTTAATACACACAAATATTGAAATAAGCATTTTAGAAATAAAAATAAAACATTTAAAAGCAACATTTTAATTCAAGTGTATTAAACCGTTACTTCAGTTCAATCATCACACTAGATTTAAAAGGTTAAAGAATACAGTTGATGGATACAGAATTCCACACAGTTTGTACTGTATGTATTCTTTCTGTACATTTTGCCAATGAGCTGGTCGTCAGTTTTCATACAGAAAATCTGCATATTGTGCACAGTAGGCCTATAGACAGATTATGTATGTATACTGTGCACAATATGCAGATTTTACAGAAGTACAAGACGTATGGTATAAAGCAGTGGTTCCTGACACTAAGGGCAGAGCATACCAAATCTACATCAGTACCGATGGCATGAGTTTGGGCTGGGATCAGATGTTTGTCATTGCATGTTTAATTCTGCTTGGTGGCGCTAAAGATGCAGAAATTGCACACATCACCTATTAAGGCTGTCTCTGAAATTGCTCACTCATTCACTAATAGCACATGGCAACTGAGTGCACTATGAAGTGAGCGAATTTGGACTCTGACGTGCTTTGGAGAGATTCAATTGATCTTCCTTTACTGTAGAAAAATCTATATTAATACAAAATGCTTATAGTCTGTTTACTGGTGAAAAGTTGAATGCAGTACAATACTAATAAAAGTCATTCAATAAATATATAAAACTTAATTGAGTGTGATTGTTATCTTTGCTCTTATGTTATGTTGCTCTTATCTTCAATGACATTATCTTTATTAATTATGATTATTTACAAAGTGCACCATAAGAGGGCACCAACTCCCTACAGTCTTGTGTCAAGACGGTTTAAATATTTTTATGAATTTCATAAAGGTACTTATTAGATTAGGGCATTAGGTATTTAGGTATTAAAATACAGACACGGTTGTATTTAAAGTAGAAAAGTTTTATAGAAAGACTCTGCTTCTGCACAGGAACTCTGTGTCCATTTCTTGAGCAAGACTCTTCTCCATATTGGAGACACTGGACTTTGAGATGGACCAGTTCCATATCAGTTTGTCGTGTGCTTTCCCAAATGTCCATAGCTCAGCAATAGAAAAAGATACATATGCTGACCAAGTAAATTATATATGACAAACAGTCTATTTTTTTTCTAAAAATATATGAAAGACACATTTTCATGTATTAAAGCACATCAGTTTCAGCAGCTGGGCAAAAAAAATAAAAAATTAATTCCAGCTGTCCAGTTGTTCCTAAATAAAGCATTTAACATCAGCTCACTGGTGTAAGTAGATTATGACATTTCAATGTAAAGCCAAACCAAATAATGTTAACACCAGCTCGCAATTCAGTATGAACACATGGGAGTCTAGCCTAAGTCATAACGTTAACGTGACTTCACTTTTATTAGATTGACCATTACGTGCTTCAAAACTTAATTTCTCTTCCACTGAGAAAGGCATACCGACTTCGACATGATTAAGGTGAGTAAATGACAACAAAGTTTCATTTTTGGGGTGAACTAGTCCTTTAATATGCGTGAATTTAACATTCACGTTGATAATACAAATGATGCATTAGGACTTGCGTTTACTGACCTAATAAACTCTTTTGCAATGATTTGTATCGTGAAAAGCGCTGTACAAATAAACTTGACTTGACTTGACTTGACTTGACTTAATATGCTTTTTAAGACTGAGATTAATGTGACATGCTTTATGGTTATTTACCCATAACCTCAAGGGAGCACATTAATAATAAAGCCCATGTTTCGATAACAATATGAACTTCAGAAAAGTATTTATTAGATTTAGGCAGGTTTAACATACATATATATTTAGAGAAACTTGCCCCAAATCTAACTTACTAACAACCTTGCTTATCGAACAGAATAAAGTGCTTTAACAGATAACAGATCCAACAAGCAAAAGTAAGAAAAACATTAGCATCCATTAAACTGTAACCAATCAACCAACCACACTGATAATGTACAGGGTTTATAGACCTGTGTTATTGAAGCATTATGTTTCAGGCTGCTTGAAGGTAAAGCTATCGAACCGCTAGTTCACATATGGGGGGATCTGGTATGGTTACTAGGCAACAAGCTCAGATGATGCAATCCATGATGTGGATCTGCAGGGAGTCCAGATCAGGTAGGACTTCCCCACATTTGGGACAAGCGTGTTCTGGAATATTCTGCTGCTGCCAATCACCTGTGGTATAAAGAGGTCTATGTTAATTGTTATCCCGATATGCAGTTACAAGTACAGTTGTACAAAAGTGTACAACATGGACTCTTTAAGGGAAGGCCTCTACCTCCTTGATGTGGAGATGGTGGCCCTTGTGGATTGGCCCCACGTGACACGTGTCTCCTTTGCATCTCACTCATGGAATGCCTGTAGCATAAAAAAATTCCCTTTTCGGTATCACAGAGGTCACATGGGAGCAGGTAAGTGTTTGAAGTTTATGACATACCTGCCAAGTGACTCCATCTCGTCCTGAAGTTGGGTGTTCTGTTTCTTCACATACTCCAGCTGAGTGGCCAAACGCTCTTTCTCTTCGTGAATCTTCTCCCGAGCTGCTCGTTCTGCGTAGAAATCTGAGGAATATATCTCTGCCTGTATGTGTACACAAAAAAAACCCACATAATAATAAGTAATGATACAGATCGGAAAGACCTTAAAAAAGTGGGAGGATGCCCAGTCAGCCATGCCACCATACAATCGTTCGTACCTGAGCCTGGAAAACAGAAATGGTTTCTAGTTCCTTTTCCTTCTGGAAGATTTCCATCTTCATCTCGTCGATCTTCTGCTGTTTGTCTGCCAGTGCCTTTTCAGCCGTAGCAAACCTGGTTTGGAGGTCATCATATTCTTCCCGTGATGCACAACTCTGATCATGCACAATGAGGTACGTCAGAAGGATGAACCACCAATGTACTCCAAATACTAAATGAACTGCCTTAAATCGAACTGTATTTAAATATAAAAAAAATGTCTGCAAGCTTAATACTCCTTCAAAAATTAAGAGAATATTTGTAGTTCACGGATGTACCGAAATAATAGTGTCTGGCCGAATACAAAAAAATAAATGTTAGCCTGAATTTTTCTAAAGTAAATGGGAATTTGTACCTCTCTCTTCTTTTTTTCCTCTTGGAGCTCATTGTAGTCTTCAAACAGCTTGGTATAGGCATCTTTCAGCTGGTTCAGGTTGTTCCTGGCAAAGAAAGATAACAGGAGATGTGATTATTATGAAAACATCATAAACACAATGTGCAACCGAGTTGAGTCTATATTTATATATTTTTAACAACTATTCAAAAATGGACCTTTTTTTAGGCATCAGATGGGGTAACAAGTTGCACTCACTTCTCATCCTGAGTTTTCTTCTGTTCCAGTTTAACAGCAGCCTGAAGGCTTTCCATCTGAACCCTCAGAGAGTCGTTCTCAGCCTGAACCTTCTGTTTCTCTCCGAGCTGAGTTTTCAGAGTACCTAGATCCTGCCCCAGATCTTTACACCTGCAGAGAGAACAGGAGATGTGAGAGCTAGGAAACATTGTAAACATTGTAAAGAAAGCAATAGTACACCCAAAAGAAAGATCTGGTTTTCTGTATGTATTACTTATAAAATGTGCTCTACAGTTCTAGGTTAAATTAATATATAAATAGAAACTTCTGGCGCCATTGTGTTGTTGCGTATTAACAACAGACTATTAAACTTTAGGTGACCTTTTATACTGAAACTAGATTTGCATTTCCAGAACGAACTAAATCAAGTTTGAAAGCAATTTCACATTTAATATTTAGAAAAATACATAATAATACAAATAAATATATTTTTATATTTAAAAATATAATAATGATACATATATAAAAAAAGTTTTTTTATTATTTAAAAAACCTTTTTTAATATGATTTAATTTAAAAAAGGCTGTGTATAGGTTGTTGGTGTTTCTGACCTGTCCTGCAAGTTTCTTTTCATGTTCTCAGCCTCGTCCAGTTTGACCTGAGCCTGTTTCAATTCATTACAGAGCTTCAACAACTGATCCTCCAGATTCTTCACCTCAGCGCTTGACTGGTGAAAACAAACATAGAAATAAATGTCGCTTCCTCATAGTAAATGTAAATTCAAAGTTGTTTCACTTTCTTTCAGACAAGACCACAGTCACATGGATGTTTTGATCAAATAACTAGTTCAAAAATGCAACACGGATAGCTATAAAAGTCTGATTATCCTACATTGATTTCGGTTGTACAGGGGAGAGATGTCTGTGCGCTGCTGTCAGCGTGTTCCAGTCTGTTCTCAAACTCGGCAATTCTGCAAATACACAATATGTGCATACAATAAAAGAAGCTCAAACACCTTAAGTTGTGTCTCTAAGAGGGTATGCGAAATTCTGTCCTACCTCCCACGTGCCTCGTGAAGCGCTAGCTGCAGTCTCTCCTTCTCATCAGTCTCTGCTCTGAGGGAGTGAAGCAGCTGCCTCACCGTCTGTTCCTCCGACTCAGCCTTTGGCCTGCGTACATGCACGTATTTGCTTAGTTATCAAATTGAGGACCTATTATAGGTTTCTATTGTGTTCCTACAATTACTATAGAATAACCATCGCCCACATCCTAACTTTAACCCATAAAGGACATTTTTGCATCTTAAAGAAACTATTTGAATCCGTTTTCCAATTTAAGACACCCACATAAAGAGTTTTTGTCAGATCTAGCTCCATTTCTAGCTCACAAACTATAACTACATACAACAAATGAAAATATGCATTTTCAAATTGATTTGCAATTCATTGCAAATTTATGCATAATTCTGCAGTGCTTACATGCTGAAAGCACATGGGTCCTTTGGCATATTGGGCAAATCTCTGGTCACTTTTAACTCATCTTCCTGTGGAAGAAAGCACAAAGAGTGACAAATTGAGCAACGTAGTGTTGCTTCATTGTGATTGTGTGTGCGCGTGCATACTTACAGCTATTCTAATCTCAATGAAGGAGCCTCGAGGTGAACCTTGACCTATTTTGAGCTGGAGTTCAGAGTTCAACGCTACCAGGTCATTCTTCTCAGCCTGAAGACGAGCAATCTGACCCCTCAGCGCCTCCAGTTCGGTGTGTAAACACTATGGCAAATATTTAACTTCATTTAACTCTTTTTAAATTGATTATATACTTCTGTGCGGTATGATTTTCTCACCTGAGCTCCACTTTTTTCCAGCTCTTCCACTGGTTTCTTCAGCGCCTCGTTCTCCACATCCATAGCATTCAGTCTGGATTTGGCATCCTCTAATCGTTGCTCCAGGAAGTCTCTCTCCTCCTTTTGCTTCTCCTTCCATGCTGACAGACCCTCAAATCTCTCCTTCATGGACAAGTTGCTTTGTTTCAGGGCTTCTGTGGGATACACATGAGGACATTGGGTTGTTGTGAGTGATGGAGCGAGTTTGTGGATTGTGATTATGGCTGAAAGTGAAATGAAATCTCACCCTTCAGTTCTCTGTTCTCTTTGATAAGAGTGTTCATTTGCTGGAGGGTCTCTTCTAAAGTGCCCAGATTCCCCGGGCCAGACCCGCGTGGGTGACTGATGTCCCCGTTCATCATCGATGAACCAGATGCCATGTTTCTGGAATCTGTTGAGCTGAATTATGAAATCCCATAGCATAACTCAAGAATGGTTTACGCTCAAATATGCAATTATCAGCACAGAAATAAAAGTGAAACTAAGAGTGAACCAAAAATATGCTAGTGCTAGTATGTTCAAAGTGCAAATAGAAATGACAATTCGAATAGTATAAGTTATTCAGTTGATCCAAATCACTAAACCTGAACTTATTAACGTTAGTCGGTCTAATAAGGTTATCAAGTTAAACTCAGACTCGTTCTGATTGGTGGCAACGATTCAGTGGTTTGGAAGGTTGTAGGTAAGTGATAATGACTTTCCTTCTGTATCTGTACACAAACCTATCGTATGGCATCAAATGAATTTTGAATGAGATTAGTGTAAGTAGATGACACACATGTATGAGTGGCAAACAATGGTTTCCTTTAGTTTCCTCATGGGATTCAACGCTAATCTAAATGGTGACTGTTAAAATCCTACCTGGTACGTTTCGTAATTTATATCACGAGAAAGTTAACTAGGACGTTTGCGGTAGACACTTGGTAAACTACGCCCTAATATGTTTCATAAGTACGCAACATGTTAATATATCTGGAGACACTTTTTAAAGATATAAAATGTTATATAACTCTCTACATTTAAGAGCATCGCGATACTCACCAAGCTTTCACTTTTTTGGGAAATGCTGCGCTTCCTGATCCAGACGTCAGTGCTGCGCGCTGAACGCACAGATCTGGGGTCCAGAAGGGTTGGTCTGTTTACAGTAAGCGTTATGCACTTAAATGTCTATCCGATGCCATAAAGCTCTAGTCTCTGAAGACGCTTCCATGCGCAGCACTGAACCAGCTGACGGTGACGGCCCGGGATTTCCCTGCGCCTGTCCTGCTGAGGTCATCCCGCATGACGCACCCAGAACTGGGGTAAAGGGAGGGGTTTTTCGTGCCCCCCTTTACGATTTTAGTGTGTAACAGGCATACAAACGCTTCAATATAGCAATAACAACAACAATAGTAAATCAATATCGTTATAATAAAAATTTGAGGTACTTATCATGTAATGACTTTGTTGATGCACTAGATGGAGCCATAGAGCTGAACGACAATGTGCATGCTTTCAAAACTTGTGGCGTGTATGATTTGAATGGCCTTACTACGGTGACTAAGAAGTGCAAAGCAAATCACAATTCTGAAAACAAAATAACAAATTACAAACGCAAATGCAAGTCTAAAAAACAAAATAACAATTCAGAAAGCACAATTACTGCCTGTGGGGAACTCTTATGAAAGATTTTTAGTTTCAAAGATAGTTCTAAGATAAATTATAATCTGGTAACCTAATAATTAAGGTGAGACTGAACTTTCATCGATATTTCCCAGAAAAAAAAAATATTTTTCAAGTCTGTTAACTACAACTTTTGTGCTTATCAAAATTCAAAATACTAGTTTTAACACTTATATCACCAGCATGAAATAAAAGGATGATGTTCTTTGTTGTATTATTTATATGAATTATTAATTATTCTGTTCTGCATTTTGCAAAAATCGTATAAATCACATCTAAATATTATAGAAGTGGTATCCCAGTTAAAGAAGGCACCTGGCTAATTTAAAGGGGTCATATGATGCTGCTAAAAAGAACATTATTTTGTGTATTTGGTGTAATTAAATGTGTTTATGCGGTTTAAAGTAAAAAAAAACACATTATTTTCCACATACTGTACATTATTGTTTCTACTCTATGCCCCGCCTTTTTGAAACGCGTCGATTTTTACAAAGCTCATCGGTCTGAAAAAGCGAGGTGTGCTCTGATTGGCCAGCTATCCAGTGCATTGTGATTGGCCGAATACCTCAAGCATGAGATGGAAATGTTACGCCCCTCACCATACTGTTGATGCCCTGTCCGGCTGGAGCGACTAGACAAAAACATAAAAACCCATTACAAACGAGGCGTTTGTTGCATCCAGTGGGGACATAATTACTGATTATAATGACTTATACTGTCTTTTTATGCGTTGCG